CATCCTAACCCCGCGCTTCGCGCCCAGCTGTTCCAGCGAGCTCATGCACGGCCTCGGCGCCCTGCACCGGGCAACCGACCTCCCGATCCAGACGCACATCTCTGAGAACAAGTCCGAGATCGCCTTGGTCGCCGAGCTGTTCCCGGAGAGTAAGCATTATACCGGTGTGTATGATGACCATGGCTTGCTGACGTCCAAGACGGTGCTGGCGCACGCGGTGCATCTGGGGGAGGACGAGGTGCGGTTGATTGTGGAGCGTAAGGCGAAGGTCAGCCATTGTCCGGCGAGTAATAGTGCGATTACGAGTGGGGCGGCGAGGGTGAGGTGGTTGCTGGATAGGGGGGTTGAAGTGGGGTTGGGGACCGATATGAGTGGGGGGTATTCGCCTAGTATTCTGGAAGCTGTGAGGCAGGCGTGCTTGGTGAGCCGACATGTTGCTATGGGCGGGGACGATGAAGCCAAGTTGATTATTGAGGAAGTGCTATATCTAGGGACGAAGGGGGGAGCGAGGGTTCTAGGGTTAGATGGGACGATTGGCGGGTTTGAAGTCGGCTTGGAGTGGGATGCCCAGTTGATTGGATTGGGGAGCGTGAATGAAGACGGGGATATGGAGGGGGATGGAGCGGTGGATATTTTCGGGTGGGAGAGTTGGGAGGAGAAGGTTGCAAAATGGGTTTATAATGGAGATGATAGGAATACGCTTGCTGTTTGGGTCAAGGGGCGGTTGGTGCATGAGAGGAAGCTCTAGAGCATATTTTACATGGCAGTCAGAGCTTCCTTGGCTATAAGAGTGGTATGTAGATTTTTGTTTCTAGGTTGTCTATGCTTATGGGCATGCTGGATGGATCATAGATGGGAATCGGTAGATTCGGATTGGGATTAGATGATTAGATAGAATGGTATAAAGAGTCACGGCCTTCAATACATATACTCTGATGAACTAATTGTCTTTCTCAAGACGGAAGACGTGAAGACATTCGACTATCTAGGTATATATCCAAATATTCCCTTGCCGCCATTACTCCACCAACACAGTAAGGTTCCTAATAACCCCTGCTCCCAGTGCTCCATGCAATCTAAGAATAATATATACAGTACAGCATCTTCACCCCTCAATCCTACAACCCCTAACAAAAAGCCACATATCTACCCCCCCCTTCCCCCCTAAACCTCCCTCCAATCCTCAATACACCTTTCCCCCCACCACACCCTCCCCCCAAACGCGCAAAGCATCCTCCTCACCAAAGC